TGATGATGATGATGATGATGATGATGATGATGATGATGATGATCACGCACTTGGTGCCACACCAAAAGATCTGGAAAAGTATTTGAACGCAATAGGAATGTCTAAAATCTCAACTCATCAATCTCAAAACTTGCATTACTTGGAATAGTGTGTATATTACCACAGCATCTTTAGACATGGTAGGAGGAGGACTTTGATAGTCTATGGTGGCAAAAACAATAATAAATCAAGAGCTTCTGCCTTTTAATGAAATGTGTTAATCAGAAAAAGTGTTCCCAGACTCCTGATTTTTGGACAGTATCTTTAGCTGTCCTAGTTCTTGGGGAAGGATGTGAGAGTTAAAAGTACCAAACGGAGTCAGAACTATCTGGTAGACTCTGTGTATATAGCAACAACAACAATAATAATAACAATATCAACCACAGCAGCAATGATGACCATTGAACTCTCTTATTTCATAATTAATTAATTGATTTTATGATGATGATTAAAAAAATATAGTGGCTGCAGCTATGTGACTTCCCCTTTTGTGTGTATGTCAAAAGAGACAGGCACTGGTTGTGTGGTCATGGCCACCATCTTGATTTTTGATACATACACACACACATGCCCACAGACACCACGGTTGCAACCTTGCTGAAGCAGAAGGGAAGGCTAGATGAAGCCTTCATTGGAGCCAGTCGGGCTGGTTCGCTTTCACCATTTTGGGTTCTTTTTGCTGGTTTATTTTGTTCTGGCAGTTTTTCTGCAAGCCAAATGCGTCTCCCCATGCTTCTGCATCAGGAACACAGAGTGAAATGAGCTTCTTTGAACCACCCAATGTGGATTTTTTGGCATAGTTCAACATTAAAGAAATGGGATTGGCCCTTTGTTAGGCCAAGGACTAAGAATATTCTTCACATTACCCGTCTTATGCAGTTTGTTTGATATCCTACCTTTTCTCTTGGAGTTCACTATAGCTTACATAGGAACCCCTCTTTTTATTTTATCCCCACAACAACAAACCTGTTGGGTGGGTAGGGCTGAGACAGAGGCCCTGGCCCAATGGCCCCCAGTGAGCAGGCTGGTTGTCCACACAAACCTTTTCCCCAATTCCTAATAAAAAAAAAAAATCATTCACACAAGGTTTGTTTGGCTTCCAAACAAGGCTCTTATTTATTATTATTAAACCAATTTATATAGCTGTAATTTTGCTGTATTCACAGAATTTTGCAGATCCTGACGTTGTTTGCTATTTGTTACATCCTGTGTTTTCCAACCATTTCCTTCAACATTTTATGGAGCACCAGACTGGTGCAGTGGTGAAGGGGTGGACTAGGGGCAGGGAGACCCCAGTTCTAGTCCCCCCTCAGCCACAGAAGCCCTCTGGGGACTTGGGGTCAGTCATTCTCCCCCAGGAAAACCTACCCTGTGGGGTTATTGTTGTTGCAGGAAAAAGTGGAAGGAGGAATGCTACATACACTCTCTTCAGCTTGTGAATGAACGGCAGTTTTTAAATCTAATAAATAAACAAACTTGGGAGTATCTGAGGCAGCTTATAACTCTAATATATAGCAAGCTTGGGGTATATGATCTCGGTGTGTTTTTCTGTGGGTTTTGATAGAACAAAGTAGTCATATATTGTATATACTCATAGATAAGCCAAGAATTTTAAGTGCCAAAATGCACCCAAAAATTGTGTTTGGCTTATCCGCGGGTGGGCTTATCCGCAAGTATATACAGTCATACTTTTTAAAGTACCCATATTTCCTGCATATACTCACAGATAAGCCCATCCATGGATAAGCAGGTCCTTGAATTTTTAACCAAAATACCATGAAAAATGTGGGTTGCCTTATCCGCGGGTGGTGTAATTTTCATGGTATTTCGATTAAAAATGTAAGGGTCTGCTTATCCATGGATGGGCTTATCTGTGATTATATACAGTAGGTGTGTTAAGCCTCTGATTTTTTTTTTTCATTTTGAAAAAAAGGCAAAGCCCCACAAATGAAGAAAAAGGGAACAAAAGCCATTCTCCCCCAGCTCTATCTACTTCACAAGGTTGTTATGGGGGAAAATTGAAGGATGTGGTGCCAATTCCACTCTCCTTTTCTCCTGCAGGAAAGGTGAGATAGAAATCAAATCAATAATACCAAATATCTGCTTGCTGTCTTCATCTGGAAGCACCCCTATGGAAGTTTGGGGATCAGAGAAGATCAGCTTTGCTGTCCAACTGTAGGGTGGGCAGGAAAGGCAGAAACTGGCAGACATGGAACTGTCATCCAGTCATGAAATGAAGTTGGTTCATACCACTTAATCTCAGGTAGCCGTTCTGTGGACTATTTGTAAAGGTCAGAACGCTTTGCAAATATCACTTTAGCAACCCTTGTATTGTTTTTGCCAGATTGGTGAAAGAGCATTCTCTCTATATTGCTTCCAGGTGGAAGACTAGGGTTTTAAGGTCACCTATTGACTGTACTGGTTTAATCGACTCACATTAAAGGTGCATTCACCTGAATAGGTTTGACCTTGAGTAGGTCTTTCGTTGCTTAGCTATGCAGATTCAACCTCTTGGGGTTTTATCTATGGTTCAACGTATTGTGCAGACCCAGAAAAGGGATTAAGTCATGGTGGGGAGGTGAGCTTTGAACACAAAACATCTCAGCAACTTCCTTTTAGTGGAGAAACCCGAATGTCTGCTTGGTGTTTCGGGTGGTAGAGAGATCCACCACTGGAAATGCTTTCTCTTCTGCCCTGCTAACTCCTTTCCCCTCATTGTCTTTTTAGGGATCTGCTCAGAATAGGGGTGATGTTAGCAGGACACCAGAAGAAGATCTTGAGCAGCATACAGGACATGAGGTTACAAATGAACCAGACTCTGCCAGTTCAGGTTTGACCATGGAGGACTCTGCATTTGGAACGGATCCCCCTCCCCTGAGGGTTATTTCCCTAGGATTCTAGTTTGCGGTGCTGCCCAGCTTCCAGAGTTTGGGGAAGGGGTTCCTCTCCATCCTCCCCCACCCTGTTATCTTGGCGTGGAGCTTCTCAGTTTGCCAACAGACCTGTGGTGGAATGGACTAGGATGACCCTAGCTAGATTAAAGACACTCCCAGGGAGTCAAGAGGGAATTGTGTCTTTTTGCTATCTTTTCCTTCCTCGATTTTGCTGTTGGTGCTTGAAGTGGTGCGCCAACAATGCGGCGTCTTCATATTGAAGACAAATTACCAGGGAAGGAGCCATCAACGGCCTCTCTGCACGTTGCCCCTTTTGTTCACGCAAACAGTCGTTCCCTAAATCCGCCTCCGACGGTGCCACGGATGACTTTCAGCTTCCGTGGGCTTTTCTGGCTCAGCACGCTCACGCAGCCTTCCTTGGCACCCCCAGCCGGAGACGAGGCCTTTTTCCTCCGTCTTGGCAAAGAGGAATCGTTGCCCCAAGCCAGTGAATGAAGGAGCCTCCAAGAGTCACACCACCCCAGGACCATGGAACTGGCTGGACGTTTCCGTCTCCACGGCCCGAGACAATCTTGCGCCGTCCGGTGCCGATGCAAGACGTATCTTCTGCGGGGAGTTAAGGACCAGCTGCTTCTTTGGCCCCAGCACACCGGAACCACGAAGCCGGTAGTGGCTTCAGGACAGGGCGTTGGGCGATCCTGCTCTGCCTCTTGCATCCACAGCCTTCCCGTTCCAGGGACCTGCCAGCACGAGTTTGCACAGAGATCTCACAGATGGACAGCCAGTTGAGGCAGCTTGCCGGCCCAGCGGGATTCAAAAGAGGAAAGGCTGAGCGGAGGAGTGGGAGCGGGGAGGGAAAATGCATCCCGTGCCTGCTCCCCATCTCATTTTTATGCAGGAAGGAGCAGGCTCTGTCAGCCGCACACCCATCTCCGTGGAGCGTTTTCTTGACACACGCTGTGATTGCTGCCAAAAAGACTGGAACACTTCCTTTTTTTTTTCTTCCTTTTTTTTTTTTTTGGTTCTCGGTTTTTGGTGGGGTTTTTTTGTTGTTGTTGTTGGTTTGTTTTTGCTTTTGCTTTCTTTCCAAAAGCCTCTGCAGGCCTGAGCCGTGGGGCAGGAGGCTCCCTTGTGAAGCTGGCAAGCTTGCATGTGTACGAGTGCGTATACTGGCCATCTGGACCGTGCAAGGCGGCAGAATAAAGGCAATAATAATTTTACTCAAGTTTCTTTGGATCATTCTCTTTCGCTCTTGTCTGCAATACGATGTCAAATTCTGGTCCTTTTGGGGGGGGGGCTTTGTACAGTGTCTTCCCCCCCCCCTTACCTTTCAAAACAGGAGAGTGTAATCTTTTCTTTCCATCTCCAGGTTATAAATAATGAGGCACCAGGAAGACATTTTACACATTCACTGTGTCTGTGTGTTTTAATCTTGCCTACTTGTTATCCATAGCCTTCAATTTGCTTCTAATTCCTCTATAGCAGTGTTTCTCAACCTTGGCAACTTTAAGATGTCTGGACTTTAACTCCCAGAATTCTCCAGCCAGCTTTGC